ACCGTAGTTTTACAAGATATTGACCTATTTTAACTACTAAAATTGATCGCGCTTGGTTGTTAACCCTAAGTGAGCATGCATTTATCTTTGTTATAGTTTTTAACTCGTTTTATGATGTTGAAAATAACCTATAACATGCATCTAACATGCTTTATATAACTATTATATAATCATTCATTCCATGCAATAATATAACAATTTATATCTATCACTCATGGAACCCTATAACATGTATATTATACATTATAACACTTATAACATACTTGTAATGCATGAAACATGCTTAGCATATGGTGGGATTTTAAATCTATATGACATACTTTATGCATATACATTTTCTATTTAATTAAAACATACATTCACAATGCATAATTAATGAAACACATTAAAGTGGATTGATTTTGGCATTTTAAAGCAAAAAATTAACTAAATTATTACATTAATAATTAAAAATAACTTGAACTGCTCCCGAGGATCACGAACCAGTTGAACCAACCCTTAAAAACGTTGAACCGGACTCCAACCAGCAGAAAAACACCCAAACCGCCTCTTCCATTTTCTTCTTTGGTTCAGCTTGCCTTTGTTTCCATTATCGATCAATTACAACCTAAAATGGACTCTAATGACTCTAATTACAAACCTTTCTTCACTCATTAAAGCTCATACACATTAGGCCAATTACAATAATGGTATGAAATGGAAGCATATAAAAAAATGTCAAAGCCATAAACATCCACTTTAGCAACCACAAAATTTCATTGATGAAATAGTACCCACCATGCTCAAATTAATGTAAATAAAGTTTCTAAAACTTGTTCTGATACTAATTGATGGTGTTGTTATAACACATGCAGAAGTAATTTGGATCTTAGGCACTCTAAGTACATCAATTATAGTAAATTAGCTAGCATGTTCATAAGCATTAAAACTCAAGGAGTTTGAGTACTAACCTTTTGTAGTTCGAATTCCTTATTCCTCTCCGGCCTTAGAACAGGATTGTGGAATTCGGTAAGTGACTAAACTTGGAAGGGATTTAGTATATGTGAAGAGAGAGTTTGTGCGGGTTTTTCTCAAGGTTTTTCCAAGAAGTCTTTCTATGTACCTTTATCACTCTATTTACATAGTCATATTTGCTTGTTCATGCAAATTTGAGATTACTAAATTTTGACACTCAAAATTCCACTCAAATTTGTATAATACTCAAATGACTAGTAAGTCGATCCTTCACAGGTTGTTCATATAGCCTAGTCGTTACACTCCCCTCACTATAGAAATATTTCTATTTGATATAACCATGATTAGTAAGTCGATCCTTCACAGGTTGTTTGTAACTAGAGCTGGGTCAATTTACCGTTTTACCCTTAAAGTTACTTTTTGTTCCTTATGTTCCACTGATCCTCTAATGAACAATTGGTTTGTGGTCCAACCAGTAAACCGAATCCCTCTCAAACCAATGAGGGGGTGGGGCTCCTTATTCAAGACCTGGAGTTAGTACTTAAAGGAACAACCTCTCTACTATCCCTAAAAGTGGATAGGAGTGAATTTCATCTTACACCCTATGTCCCCAGCTATTCACCCAGTCTTACCCCTGAAATGGGAGGCTTATTGAGTCGGCGAACTCGAGCCACTCTCACCCATACAAATCTAAGGATGATTATGAATAAATAGGAGTTCATGGTTAACTCAGGATTAAGATCGAGTTACCTAGGTCATCGAATGAAAAAAATCAGTTTCAATAGTAAACGACATTATAAAGTTAGAGTGATTTTCTTCCTAGTCTAATCTTATGCAATACTCATTGCATAGGACACCCCCACTCACATGTCTCCGCATGTAAAATTTAGTGATTACATTGTTTATGTCATAAATAAAAGTGGGCCGCATCCATAGTGTTCCCAGGATTAGGTACTCAATCTTATTCCTATACTATAGATCATTTTGACTATATATTTGAACTTGAAACACTCTTATGTCCCTACATATAGTTCAAATAATCATATTATAGTCAAAGTGTTCTTAGCTTATTGGATTTAGATTAATAATCGTAAAATTCACTTTATTCAATAACAATCTTTAATGAATAAACATCAATAATAACTTTATTGAAAATAGAATATGTTTTTGTTTACCAACTATGAGTTTTAGGACATAAAACCCGACATATAATATATCGATTTCTATGTTTTCAACCCTTCTGGAGTCGTTTCTGTCCTTATTTTTTCATTATGAGGTTAGTATGGTTCTTAATAGTCAAACCAGATTGTGTTAGGTTCTTCCTTTATTAACTAACATGAGGTTTAGCTAGAATAGGTTATGAAAGGTTCCTAAATATGTTACGTGGTTCTTATAGGACATAATTAACCATTGGAATTAGCTTGTTGTGAGTGACTTTGGCCAAGGCCATCGAGGTAAGTGTCCTTACTGTTGGAGTTAGTTTATTATGTGTTATATGATGGTGTGTGCCCTGTGGCCCCTGCATGCACCATATTTATGTGATATAACTATGTGATGTATAGATTGCATTGATTGTCGACCGTTTATGTTATGTGATGTATTAATTAAATTGACTATTGACTGTTATGTTATGAAACACTTATGGAACTGGAAAGTATTTTCATGTTATATGATATGTCATGTAATGTAAGTTGATATGTCATGTAATGTAAGAAATGTATATGTAATGTTAGTAATGCTTATGTAATGTCATGTTAGGTATTTTAAGGGACCTCATGCATATATGTATGTCACTTGCATTGGGATACTTCCCCTTTAAGTTATGAAAGGATGAAATACGATATTTATGTTTGTCATGATATCATGTGAGCCTTTTCTGTTCAGTGGTGTCCGGCGACATGTAATACGTTGTGTCCGACCAAATCAAGCCTAGAGGTACGTATACGAACCCGCCTGGTGGGTCCATGTGCGCGTTCGTGGGCCGTGAGTGAAGGAGTACCACACATCCAACCCAACCCAAAATAGAAAAGCACCCAAGGTCATGTAAAGTTTACGAAAAGTTAGTTCCGGTTCATATGTTGTATGTGTTTGCATTTCTAACCCCAACAGTGGGGTGACTTACTAAGTATTTTATAAAATACTAAATCCACGTACTACCTATATTTTTCAGATAAAGGCAAGACACCAATGTACGACTGACGGTGAAGCTGAGGACACCATGGAAGTTGAGGAGGGGCATTATTAGTAGTTTACATTTAACTGTTAAGTTAAAGCATTGAACATTGTTTCTATTTAGAATTTTTCTGAATTCAGTTACTGAACGTTTTATTCTCAGATACATGAAGGGTTCAAAGAGTTGCAGTAACTTCGACCTAAGCTAACCAAGTACATGACCTTACAATCGACTCGGTTGGAAGAATTGTCTTATGCGTGACGACACCAGCCAAAAGTGGTGTTGGCCCGTATCATTTACGCTTTACATGTTGGGATGAGTTTTAGCTAAATTATGATAACTTTAATTGATGATGACATAATGAGGATGATATAATGATGAGAATGTATGATGTTATGATGACGTTCTATGATGATGTGTGACATTATTATAACGTTATTTGAAGATGATATGATGATTTTGATATAATGATGATGATGTAATATGGTAATGTGTAATATTATTATAACGTTAATTGATGACGACATGATGGCGATGTCATAATAATGATAAGGTATGATGACGTACATGATGATGATGGTGATATGATGACGAGGAACCTTGGATATTAATACTATTTTAAAAGTTAATAGATATTTTGAAAATGGGTACCATCGGTTCCATCCACACCTTAATTGTAAGAGTATTATTTCAACCTTTTATAAAAAAAAAAAAAAAAATAAATAACAACATTATCTCGAGGTTTGAGAGTGGAAGAATATTTGTGCGAAGATATTAATAAAATTTTGAAAATTAAAATGTATTTTTAAATATTTTATAAAATAATTATTTCCATCCAAAACCCAAAGTTAGATTATGTTTGAATTAATTAATGTGAAGTGATTGGAGGAACATTATGTAAACAATGGATTTTGTTTTGGAATTACATGATTTATATTATTTAGTGTATACACAATAATTCCAAACCCACAAACAGAGCAATGGATTCTAACCCTCAACTCTCCTATCGTTATTGAAAGAGAAGGCAACCCAAATCTCCCTGGCCCTCCTTGCCTCCACTCCGGCGTCGTTTTCCTCCTCGTCAACGGGCATCTTGTACCGACAAACCGGACATGTCCCATGGATGCCCAGCCATTTCTGTATACATTCGCGATGGAATTTGTGTGTGCAAGGCAGTTCCTTGGCTAAACAACCGATCTCCCACTCGTTCAAACAGACGGGGCACTCGCAAGGCAGCTCCTCTGCCTTGACCTGAACGGTGGGAAGCGCTTGTATGGACGCCTTGGAGGCCGATGGGTGGCCCTCCTTCCCGCCCAAATCGCGCAATAGCGCTTCCAACCTCGAACGCCCCTCGATCACAATCATACTCTGTGTAACAAGGTTCACCACCAATATCCTCTCGCTTCCATTTTCGTTTTCCATTCTCGATTTGAGAAGAGAGAAAGGTCTCTGTTTTCTGAGGAAATTTCAGGGGAATTGGGTTTCTGAGGCCATGGATTTGGATATAAGCTCAAACGGTATTACGAGGAAGCTGTGGGCGAAGCCCACAATCAGGAAGGATCTGGAACTTCTTCAGATGGACTTTTTGAGTGTGGTTGGAGGACCCCGTACACTAATTTGGACAATATCATACCTTAACTAAAGTTTGAGTGGACAAAATCATACCATAGGAGAGTGTTCATAATCATGATAACTAAGATCATCCGTGCCTTGTTCGTAATTACAATTCGGTTAAAATTATAATTGGGTTAAAAGTCATTTTTACCCTTGTAATTACATTTAAGACCTTAAGTAATTCTCTAATAAACAATTTGTTTGTTGACACGTCATATGATCATGTTGTTTTGGTTATAATTTCAGGAAAGACGGTACATGAAGAAATCCCCTACTTTTCCTTCTAAATATTGGCCTTGTTTTCCATATGAAAACAAAAAGAATCCAGAGATTACAGCACAGATTACAGCAGCAAATTCAACTTGGGAAAAATGTTTGTATCCACAGCCAAAACGAGGACGACAGAGGGAAGTAGAAGAAAGGCTTTCCATGTATGAACAACATAGTATTATTACATGATTGGTTGTGGTTCAAACAGCAGGGTTAGGGTGCGGGTGAGGGTGAGGGTGTGGGTGTGGGTGTGGGTGAAA